GCCAGAAACACACCTCCACATGTGGAGGTGTGCAACACCTCGTCAGCAGCGGCAGCGGGGCAATCCCTGATAATCCCCGAGTTGACGCGCTCATTTGTCCTTCGAAGCGGACCAAATGGAGAGTGCGGGGAAATGCTGTGGGGCGGCGGCGGCGGGGAGGATCGAAATGTTATCAGAGTAACGCGGGCACTCACCGCCCCATTAGAGAAACTGGTGATCTTCGGGGTGCCATTGGAGGAGTCCACTAGCTTGGCCTTGGAAGGTCTCGGCATAGTTCTGCACTCAAGACCATTGCCGGCACACCAACCTAAGACTTTTTCACCAGTGCCAACCTAGAACCCATTGTGTGGGTTCGGTAGGGTTGGAGTTACCGTTAGGGTTGTTAACCGGCGTCAAGCGTCAAGCGTCTGGGTCCATGGCTTGTTTTGCGTGCCCCTGAGTGCATGAAGTGTTTGGTAAAATGCATATAAGAAAAAAACCTGACCAACTTCTCCTCTCGAGACTCTGCTTCATGTTTGGTTTGGAAAATGCGTGGACGACAAGATGTCTGCTAGAGCATCCCTCCGCACTATCGTGTAGGCAACTGGTGCAACACTAGCAACAACCTTTGTTCTTGGAAACTCACCGCTGCTGTGCGGAGCGGAGCAATTTTTCTGTTGTTGTTCGTTGTCCAGAATTTGCAAGACACCCGGTGAACACATTGAACCCATTCCGCTGGCTGTGTTCTCATTGCCATTGGCTGGTGAACCCGCCGCACGCTTATGGTGTGATTCAGTCGCTTTATTTTCGCTGTCTGTTTTTTTTTGGTGACGTCGCTCTCCGTACAGCCTCGCTCAAGCTTGACGAGTCAGTTGTCTGTTCCCTGGTCACTGTGCATCGTTCTCTCTCCTAGACTGCTGATAGTGCCCGCGCGCAACAACATGACGGTTACAAAATCCATGCTCGATAACATATCAAACATATGAGCACCGTTTGTGAGCCGGATTGAGAATCCTTCCGCTACAACCTTAACGTACATGTAGCGGCTTTTTGTTTGGCCCAAAAGAGGAACTGAGACCCCAAAGCCCCAGCCAAACCTGGACGTTCTTGAGTGTGGTCGTTATCTGTATGCTCTATGCAGCAGTACACATGGCCTCCAAAGCTTGAGATTCTTAAGCACGGGCGCCATCTCTCTGTATGCTATCCAGCACATGCCTCCTTCTGCTAATAGAGCAACCGTATTTTGTGTTGACTTCGTCGACACTTGAACATATGTGTTAAGCATCCGCCAGCCTCTAAGGAACACATGTCTCTTTGTACAACTACAGAAAAAAAACTGTGACCGGTTCTCTAACACACCTGCGTATGTGGTATGAATTCGGCAGCCGCTAAGGGAGGGTTCGGGGCGGCGCTGGCTGCCAACGGGGGCCGAGCGTCGGTCAAGCCGCCGTCGCCCTGCATTCCGGTGCCCCACAAGGATAAGGTCTGGGAGGGCATCGGCAGCACCAGCAGCCGGCGAGCAAGCCCGGCACAGTCGGCGACAGGTACGACGGGTGTTTGTGTGTGTTTTTATTGTTAGCGTCGACCGCGCTAACCGGCTGACCAATGAAATGACGTCAGTCTCAGTGCGGTTGACAGTGTGTGTGTTTTTTTTTTATTTTATTAGCATCGACCGCGCTAACCGGCTGGCCGACGAAAAAAGACGTCCGTTTCAGTGCGGTGGAAAACACAACATGCTTCTATTGACCATGTGGCATTGTGTGTGTGTGTGTGTGTGTGTGTGTGTGTTGTTTATGATAAGCATCGACGGCGCTAACCGATGACCGATGAAATGACGTCGGTCTCGGTGCGGTTGAAAACAGAAAGCGTGCGTGTGTGTGTGTTATTTTGTTAGTAACGATGGCGCTAACCCGCTGACCGATGAAAAGACGACAGCGGTGTCAGTGTTTCTGTGGCGCCCGGGGGTATCTCATCATGTATGTACATACCGGAAAATTGTCCTGACCTATCAACAGTTGAAGGTCAACCCGTGGCCCTTGTTGGCGCGCCTACTCGCAGCTAGAGATCGTACCACACCCTACTGGATGGGTGCAGGTGACCCGCCCTTCCTCCCCCAGTGTGTGTTCGTTGTATGGCGGACCTCTATGCTATACCTCGTTGACCCTCTCCGCCCTTGTGGGCTATTTTTGTACCCTCTCCGTCCGTTCTCTTCTAATGTTGTACCCCTCGTCAACCCTCTCCGCCCGTCCGGTCTCTGTTCTCTTGTGCTAATTGTGTACCCCCCCCTACCATTTTTCTACCCCTTGTTGACCCTCTTGTCCCGCCCACCTCCTGTGCTACTCCCAGGCTCGACGATCTCCACCGGCAGCGGTACCCTAAGCTTCTCCCCGAGCGCCGCGGAAGCGCTGGCGGAGTGCGAGGCGCGGACCGCCCGAAGAGACAAGCGCCGGAGGCGACCGTCCGACTGGGCGGCGCACTTGATGGGGCTAGACAGGGGGGGCGGGAGAGACGGGGCGGGGGGCGGGGGGTCTACGAAGACCACGCCCGTGGATGGGAGGACCCCGGTGGACGGGCGCACGCCGGTGCGATCATCGGTGAAGAGTACTCCGCGAACCCCGCCGTTGCTGGGCGTCCCCGCCGCCGCTCCCGGCACCGCGCCGCCCGCGGCGGCGACGGCGGTGTCGTATTCTCCGACCCCGGTTTCCAACGGAAGCGGAGGGACGACGCCCGTGGCCGCCGGTGGCGGCGGTGGCGGCGGCGGGAGGGGGGGGGAGCCGCTGAGGAGGGCGCCGGGGAGGATCCTCCGTATACGAGTAGCGTGCGGGGGG